ACCCGGCCACCTCCTGGGCTTCCTCCTCCTGGCGGGACCCAGCGTCCGGGCCAGAGTCCCTCTGGCAGCCCGGGTAAAGGCGCCTTCAGCAAGGTCAAGGCGCGGCCGGCCGGCACCTGGGGATTTTTTCCAACCGAGCACGGGCTTTGCAATCGCATTGTTAAGGATCATGGCAGCGGCAGGAAATCTGAACGGCCCCACAGGTCTGCGCGAGGGAGGATTTATTTTACAGCGCCGAACACACTCAGTCAGACCCGGGGTCTCAGGGGGAGGGGACACGGGGTTTCAGGACACTGGAATGTGGCAAAAAACAAAACACTTCCTACCCTTGCACACCATCAATTCTGACCTCGCGGAGGGAGTTCAGGGCCACTGAGTCCCAGACTTCAGTTCCGGAGGGCTCTGTCAGAGCTTGGGGTGACTTATCCCTCTACAGGCGAAAAACAAGATTTAAAAACACTCCACTATCACAGCCCGTCAACGTGCTACAAGGCTGCAGCGGCGAAAGAAGGCAGAGAGATGGAGAAAACAAACGCAGCAGAAGCAAAACTGCGGTCCGCGAAGGGAGAGACAGGGAACAGAAGCCATACCCGCGTTCATCCCCATTCCATCCCCATTGGAACCGGGCAAGCCCAGGAAAAGGCACGTAATGGTAGCCGCCCCCGGTAAAGGCCAGCAATCTACTTGCTAACCCCTCAACCCTGGTCTGGAATGTATCGGATCCCTGAGCATCTCCAAAAGGGACAGGCATTGCGGGCAGGTTTCTAGACACGTGAAGGGCGCTGGGTGTAAAGATCGGGAGGGGCACCAGGAGAAGCTAAGAAGAGAGTCTTTGGAGCTCCCCAGAGCACATTTTCCTAAAACGCTGTTCCCTGGAAGGCCTTCCAACACCCCCAGGGGAGACTCTAGGCTCTTAGAACTCAAAGAAACCCGAGTTCTGACCGGCTCTTCTCAGATCAACCCTGAATCCCCACCCACCCAGTCCCTGGCTCAGTAACTGAATCTTTGGGGACAGCAATATCAGCACCCAACACCCATCGCAGAAGTAGGCGCTGGGGTACAAGACGTCCCCCGCTCTCCACTCCCGAAGTGGAAGCGCCCCGGGTACTTACATTCCCCAAGCAGGAAAACTTTCAGGCTTGTCTTTCAAGAACCGGGTGCTCGCATCACAGTTCTGGGGTATCACTGAGGCAGCTTATATAATTGCCCGCGATGCCGTTCGGCAGCTGTCCCTCCGGTGCGCGACCGCTTGGCTCAGCACATGGGCACCCTCTGGCCCTAGAGCTCGGGATCGTGAGCGTGCCCCACCGGCGCCTTCTACAAAGCAGCAGAGTGATCTCCTGGGCTAGTCCAACGCCAAGTGTGCGCGTAGGTTCCGGCAAAACCCCGGCTGCCTCCCTGCTCCCCTTTCGCTGCGTTGGTGGCTTACGGTTAACTGCATCTCTACAAACCTTCTCGCCAGGGCTTGGGGGTGGGGTGGGAGGGAAATAGGGACTGAGTGGGTGATTGGTGCAGTTCTGATAAGGGCTCCGCACCCAGCTGAGCAGTTATACTCCTGTCCACATGGACTAGGCTGCAGAAATCACCTTAACGTCTCAACGAGGAAGGTGAGCCAATTTCCAAAGTTAGAGACCACGCAGTTGAATTTCCAGTACTTTCCAACCTCGCCTAGGCGGGGGCAGGGCAGAGAAAAGGCGGGCAGTGGCCAGCAAAGCCCACGGTACTGACCCGCCAAGGACTCACTACATGAACCACCCTTCCACCCTTCGCCCAAATAGTTGGCTGTGTATTCCTCGGCTGCACACACACACACACGCATACACACACACACACACACACACACACACACACACACACACTCCGAGCCACCACCTTCCCGTCTGCTCCTCCAGGGTAAAGATTGCAGTTTTATATGGCAAGGAAAATGACTAAGGAGCCTGGTGATCACATTTCAACACAGAGCACCTTTCCCGAAACTGGAGGTGCAAGCAGTTTCACACACTCACAGCCGGGAGCTCCACAGAGGTCCACCCGGCGGCTATAGCTTCAACTTGCTCCTAGGCGAACGTGAACAGCACTGCCTGGCTGCCAGGGAGACCAGGCAAGGATAGGCGACGCGTGGATTGCAGAAGGTGCGGGGCTAGGGTCGCGTCTCTAGGCTCTCGTCTCCAACTGCAGCGCACAAGGGGCCGCGGCAGCCAGCGCTCGCCCCGCAGGGTAGGCTGCAGTCCTGGAGCCCGGCGCCGCCTCGCGGGCTCCTCCAGCGCCCGCCGGGAGTCTGAGGCGGGCGGGTCTGCAGAGGGGCTGCGGGCCACTGGGCCGTGGTTTGGCGGGGAAGGAGAACCGGGCGCGGCAGACAAACCTAGGGCGCGCCGCCTCCTTTCCACCCGCGTCCAAAGTCCCAGGCCCGCGCCCACATCTCTGCTGTTTCCCAACCCTTCCTCTCAGGCTCCAGTCCGCGGCAGGCTCCGAGGGCTGCGGCGGCGGCGGCGGCGGCTCCGGGCTCCAGACTGTCTTGCCTTGCCGGCAACCCGCGTCCTAGCCTCCCTCCCTCCTCCCACCCCCGGTGAGGGCCAGGATAGCGAGCAAGCGTCTCCGGGAGCCCTCGGCAGCCGCGGAGCTACCCGGTCCTGCGAGCGCAGAGGGGCCACAGAGCTGGCGAGGCGCCGCCGCGGTCCCTAAGGCGCTTTTCCGTAGAGCGGATCACGCCGCCTTACCGTGGCTGCAGGCTGCCACCGCCGGGGAAGCGGGGAGGAGGGCGGCAGGGAGGCAAGGCGCCGCACTGGTGGCTCCTCTACCTCTCGGCGGCGCGGCCCCTCGGCTCCCCGAGCCGGAGCGGGGCGCCCAAGAAGGACAGGTCCCGGCTCTGCGCTCAGCTCCAGCGAGACCAACAATAGCTCCCGCGGGGAGCGGAGCCCTAGCGAGCCTCCAGCCGCGCGCACACGCCCGGCTCCCGCTCCCGGCCGCTCCCGGCCGGCGTCCCTGCCAGCACTGCTGCCCCACATGAAACAGCTGCAATCCCGAGGCTTCTGGGGGGTTGGGGCGGGTGTGTGCGCGCGCGTGTGTGTGTGAGTGTGTGTGAGTGAGTGTGTGTGTTTAATAGCTTCCCTCCTCTTCTTCCCCTCCCTGCCTGCTCGCCTGCCTGCCTCCGTTCCCCACCCTCGCTCTCTTACACACAGAGAGGGCGAGCGACACACACACACACACACACGCACACGCACATGCAGGTTACATGAATGGGAGGCGGGAGCCAATCCTAGGAGGCCCGGCGAGCCACCGCGCACAGGCGTTTGGAGCAGGGCTGCACCACAGCGCCGGGGGGCGCCACGCAGGCGATGAGCATCTCTCACCAGTCCACCCGCCTGCCTCTCCACTCACCCCAGTCTCTCTGTTGTCTCCAATATATTTCCCTCTCCTTTCAGTGGTCTCCGCTTTCTCCATCTCTCTTCACTCCTTTTAATCTCATTTTCTTTCTCGAATTCTCCGAGCTCTCTCAGCTCGGTATCTTTCTTTGTGTCCTCTTTTACCTTCCTTGCTTTCTTCCTAGCCCCCCTTCTAAAACTTTCTCCTCCCTTGTCCAGCCTTTTATCTGTTTCTTCTCCTCTTGGCTTTGGTTCTTTCCCCTCTCTTTTACTTCCTTCTCTTTTTCCTTGTCTCTTGGTAGTGTTGTCGGTCTCCTCTAGGTTCCCCAAGTCTGTTTGGGGCCCTTAGCCTCTTCCTTACCTATCCTCTGGATGTTAATCCACATCCCCAACACTTTTCCAGGGATGGACTCTCAGTTGCTACTGCAGCATAGTCAGTTGTTTTTAAGAGCTGAGAACTTGAGTTCCTTCTTCAGGCATGTAAGATGCCCAAAGAAAGGCCCTTTTTCCTGGGACAACTTCCCCCCAAACCACGGTAATCAAACGGTATCACACTACAGAAGTGTGATAACAATCATTGAAAAAAAAAATAGCAGTGAATGTGGTCCAAGTGATTTCTTGGTCCAAATGCATGTCTGTATGATGATCACTAGCATATCACCAAGGGAAGGACATTTTTATATGATGAAATAGGCAACTTGGTGTAGTGGCAACTTACAAAGGTTTTAGAGGGAGTCCAGAAGAATTCCCACCCCAAGCTTACTGTATGCTCACTGTAGGACTCAGTGTATGCCATTTTACATCACCCAGCCTTAATTTTCTGAACTGTAAATCAGATTATACTTATCCCACTAATATGCTGAGGATTAAAAGATAAAATTATAAAAAGAAAACACTGGACATTAGGAGGTGTTCAATTAATAAGCACCTACATCTAGCTGGTCACAGATTACAAACTTGAGGTATTGGATAACCCTTTATTATCTCCTAATTGAAGTGGAAAGGCAGAGGTGGGGATAGGAATGTGTAAGAGGTTTCCTCAAACCCTGTTAAATCTTTACAATAAGTTAACACCAGTGACAAAGCCTCTGAAACTAAAATGTCAAGTCTGCCTTTGGACAGTATTTACCAACTCCATGTCCTTACTACATACATCAAAGCTGGGGACCATCTCTGATTAGCAGTCAGATTCAGTTCTTCAACAAATATTTGTTGACTACCTATTCTGTTGTAGGTATGTGATGAGTTCTGGACATTTTAGGAATGAGGAAAATGAATCCTGCCTTCTGAATTCACAGTGTCCTGGACTTGTCTCATGAATATATCAGGAGAAAAAGAGACATATAGAAGTGCCATTTGTTCAGTGGGCAGAATCTTAAAAAATGTGAGGTCCCTGGCAGGGAATATAATAAAGAAATCCTTAAGAGAAAATTTTGGAAACAACTTTTAGGCTATGCACTTCCTTTGACTTATGAGAAAACTAACACCCACAGGCTAATGTAGTGGGTGAGAGCATGATGAGAAACAAAATATTTACACAGTATTGAACTACCTCCTCACAAAATACTGTTCAATTCAAAGGGGAAAATAGTAGCTTCAGAGCAGAGAAATCTGGCAGATTCCACCCTAATGAAGAGATTAAGATCAGGAGCATCAGAATTTGACAAATAGACATTATGATGCACTGAGAAGGACATAATGTCACTTCTATGGCATCTAATCATCAAGACATATCAGACAGGCCTGAAGAGGACTATTCCACAAAATAATTAATGAATGCTACTTAAGAATATGTAAATTTCGAAAGACCATTCCAGAGCAGTTCAAGAGTTAACAGTTTAATTGTATGACAATAAATGGAACTCATGATCCTACATTGGATCATTAATGGGAAAACTGGCAAAATTTAAATAAGGTCTGTAGATGAGACAATAGTGTATATCTATGATAACTTCCAGGCTTTGATGGCCATACAGCGGGACTATCCTTGTTTTTAGGAAATGTGGAACTAAAGTTTAAAGAGGTACAGGTGGGAAAAGGAACAACACCAATCCTTGCCTTCAAAGACAGACATGGGTATGCTGGGTTCCTGCCTAAGGAATAGGTAGAGTGTAAGCACAGCAGTATGCTTAGCCTAACCTTTGGTGGTAAGGAAAGACTTCCTGTAGGAGGCGGCATTCAAACTGAGATTCAAAGGCAAGGAAGTTAGCTAGAGCATGAAAGGAGGGAGATTGCTTTCTCAGTAGAGGTTAGAAAGAGTATGCAAATAATATGGACAAAAGCATAAGGCTGGCATAGCAGCAGAGTCAGGCATGTAAAGAAGTGTGTGGGTAGAGT